AGAACACCAAGAGCATCATGTCCCGTGATTGACGGACACTTCCCAAACTTGTCATACGTTGCTAGATGAAACCAAAAGAACACCAAGAGCATCATGTCGCGTGATTGACAAACACTCCCCAAACTTGTCATAGGTTGCTAGATGAAACCAAAAAAAACCAAGAGCATCATGTCCCGTGATTGACAGACACTCCCCACTCTTTTCATAGGTTGCTAGATGAAACCAAAAGAAGACCAAGAGCATCATGTCCCGTGATTGACAAACACTCCCCAAACTATGTCATAGGTTGCTAGATGAAACCAAAAAGAAAACCAAGAGCATCATGTCCCGTGATTGACAAACACTTCCCAAACTTGTCACAGGTTGCTAGATGAAACCAAAAGAAAACCAAGAGCATCATGTCCCGTGAATCACAAACACTCCCCAAACTTGCTATAGGTTGCTAGATGAAACCAAAAGAACACCAAGGTCATCATGTCCCGTGATTGACAAACACTCCCCCAACTTGCAATAGGTTGCTAGATGAAACCAAAAGACAACCAAGAGCATCATGTCCCGTGATTGACAAACACTCCCCAAACTTGCAATAGGTTGCTAGATGAAACCAAAAGAAAACCAAGAGCATCATGTCCCGTGATTGACAAACACTCCCCAAGCTTGTCATAGGTTGCTAGATGAAACCAAAAGAAACCAAGAGCATCATGTCCCGTGATTGACAGACACTCCCCAAACTTGTCATAGGTTGCTAGATGAAACCAAAAGAACACCAAGACATCATGTCCCGTGATTGACAAACACTCCCCCAACTTGTCATAGGTTGCTAGATGAAACCAAAAGAACACCAAGAGCATCATGTCCCGTGATTGACAAACACTCCCCAAACTTGTCATAGGTTGCTAGATGAAAGCAAAAGAAAACCAAGAGCATCATGTCCCGTGATTGACGGACACTCCCCAAACTTGTCATAGGTTGCTAGATGAAACCAAAAGAACACCAAGAGCATCATGTCCCGTGATTGACAAGCACTCCCCAAACTTGTCATAGGTTGCTAGATGAAACCAAAAGAACCCAAGAGATCATGTCCCGTGATTGACACACACTCCCCAAACTTGTCATAGGTTGCTAGATGAAACCAACAGAACACCAAGAGCATCATGTCCCGTGATTGACAGACACTCCCCAAACTTGTCATAGGTTGCTAGATGAAACAAAAAAAACACCAAGAGCATCATGTCCCGTGATTCACAGACACTCCCCAAACTTGTCATAGGTTGCTAGATGAAGCCAAAAAAACACCAAGAGCATCATGTCCCCACAACCACTCCCCAAACTTGATCATCATGTCCCGTGATTGACAGACACTCCCCAAACTTGTCATAGGTTGCTAGATGAAACCAAAAAAAACCAAGAGCATCATGTCCCGTGATTGACAGACACTCCCCACTCTTTTCATAGGTTGCTAGATGAAACCAAAAGAAGACCAAGAGCATCATGTCCCGTGATTGACAAACACTCCCCAAACTATGTCATAGGTTGCTAGAATAGACAAAAAGAACACCAAGAGCATCACGTCCCGTGATTGACAAACACTCCCCAAACTTGTCATAGGTTGCTAGATGAAACCAAAAGAAAACCAAGAGCATCATGTCCCGTGATTGACGGACACTCCCCAAACTTGTCATACGTTGCTAGATGAAACCAAAAGAACACCAAGAGCATCACGTCCCGTGATTGACAGACACTCCCCAAACTTGTCATAGGTTGCTAGATGAAACCAAAAGAAAACCAAGAGCATCATGCCCCGTGATTCACAGACACTCCCCAAACTTGTCATACGTTGCTAGATGAAACCAAAAGAACACCAAGAGCATCACATCCCGTGATTGACAAACACTCCCCAAACTTGCAATAGGTTGCTAGATGAAACCAAAAGAAAACCAAGAGCATCATGTCCCGTGATTGACAAACACTCCCCAAACTTGTCATAGGTTGCTAGATGAAACCAAAAGAACACCAAGAGCATCATGTCCCGTGATTGACAAACACTCCCCAAACTTGTCATAGGTTGCTAGATGAAACCAAAAGAACACCAAGAGCATCATGTCCCGTGATTGACAGACACTCCCCACTCTTTTCATAGGTTGCTAGATGAAACCAAAAGAAGACCAAGAGCATCATGTCCCGTGATTGACAAACACTGTCCAAACTATGTCATAGGTTGCTAGAATAAACAAAAAGAACACCAAGAGCATCACGTCCCGTGATTGACAAACACTCCCCAAACTTGTCATAGGTTGCTAGATGAAACCAAAAGAAAACCAAGAGCATCATGTCCCGTGATTGACAGACACTCCCCAAACTTGTCATAGGTTGCTAGATGAAACCAAAAGAAAACCAAGAGCATCATGTCCCGTGATTGAGAAACACTCCCCAAACTTGTCTTAGGTTGCTAGATGAAACCAAAAGAACACCAAGAGCATCATATCCCGTGATTCACAACCACTCCCCAAACTTGTCATAGGTTGCTAGATGAAACCAAAAAAAACCCAAGAGCATCATGTCCCGTGATTGACAGACACTCCCCACTCTTTTCATAGGTTGCTAGATGAAACCAAAAGAAGACCAAGAGCATCATGTCCCGTGATTGACAGACACTCCCCAAACTTGTCATAGGTTGCTAGATGAAACCAAAAGAAAACCAAGAGCATCATGCCCCGTGATTGACAGACACTCCCCACTCTTTTCATAGGTTGCTAGATGAAACCAAAAGAACACCAAGAGCATCACATCCCGTGATTGACAAACACTCCCCAAACTTGTCATAGGTTGCTAGATGAAACCCAAAAAAACCAAGAGCATCATGTCCCGTGATTGACAGACACTCCCCAAACTTGTCATAGGTTGCTAGATGAAACCAAAAGAACACCAAGACATCATGTCCCGTGATTGACACACACTCCCCAAACTTGTCATAGGTTGCTAGATGAAACCAAAAGAACACCAAGAGCATCAGGTCCCTTGATTGACACACACTCCCCAAACTTGTCATAGGTTGTTAGATGAAACCAAAAGAACACCAAGAGCATCACATCCCGTGATTGACAAACACTCCCCAAACTTGTCATAGGTTGCTAGATGAAACCAAAAGAACACCAAGAGCATCATGTCCCGTGATTGACAAATACTCCCCAAACTTGTCATAGGTTGCTAGATGAAACCAAAAGAAAACCAAGAGCATCATGTCCCGTGATTGAGAAACACTTCCCAAACTTGTTATAGGTTGCTAGATGAAACCAAAAGAACACCAAGAGCATCATGTCCCGTGATTGACAAACACTCCCCAAACTTGTGATAGGTTGCTAGATCAAACCAAAAGAACACCAAGAGCATCATGTCCCGTGATTGACAGACACTCCCCAAACTTGTCATAGGTTGCTAGATGAAACCAAAAGAAAACCAAGAGCATCATGTCCCTTGTCTCATGATCCACTGATGCACTTCTGGAGGCTGATGCTTTGGGCAAAATGTATGAGCTTTGCCAGGAACCGATTGCCAAGATGGTGCTCCCTTTTGGGGACCAATTTTATTACAGGAGGGAACAAGTGCCATGGTGGACCACCCCCATATCCTTGACTCCGAACAAGCATGAGATTTGATTCTGGCACAAGTGACTCCATGAATCAACTCTCTCAAAAGGACCCACCAGTTGCAGTAGAGACAGAAAAGCTGAGTCGGGGATCATGGACGCTCCCCATTGTACGCGCCTTGACAAGGAGCATGTCGAACGAGTTCCAAATAGTTGTGGAAATCTCGGACCCCTTTGTGGGTCCGCAGAAGCAGCAAACGGGCAAGGAATTCATGACCCATTTGAGGTGTTGCGTACCCTAACCTTGTTGCTTGCGCGAAGTTCCCAGCGATGAGCAAGCTGGGATGGTTCTTTTCGGACCTGAAGGGGCAGCAGTCCTAAGACAGTTTGAATTGAAAGGCTCAGGAAAGCTCGCCTGGCTCTCCGCTAAACGTCGGTCCAAGCCGGAACAAACACCTCCATGAATGCAGCAAAAGCCACAACGAGGGCCATGGCTGAATGGAAAACACGCAACAATCCAAGCATGAGCTTCTTTGCTACAGGAAAGTGCAAAGCTTTTGCAGGATCCCATCAAATAAATTATTTTCCGATGCAACTGGCATAAACAATATCCGAGGTTCCAAATGATTGTTTGCAATGGCCATGACGAAACAATGAGTATATATTGTTGAAACCCAACATGCGAAAGGTCGATTCGTTTGGGAATTGACACCGTATGTATGCAACTAAGTACATGTGCTACAGAACAATCATCAACGGTCATGCGCTGTTCTGCTCAGAACCCATACCAGGATGATGAATTTCTAAGAGTGAGAGTCCTGATACTTGGCAAGTCAAACCACCAGTCCGAATCGCATCCGTCTTTACGTCCACATGTCTGATTCCACTATCCAATCACAGGTTTTCCCAGTCACCGCGAACAAAAAAAATGGAAATCGACCTTGGGACTCAGGAGCTTCTCACCATGGTTGTCATTGGGACATCTTTGAGTTGAATTTCGTTGGGAACCATGGGAAAGGGGAGACATGCAGGCACTGTTGTCATGTTCAGTCCATTGCTCGTGTGGCGCCTCGATGGATTGCCTTTGGCCGTGAATCAAACGATGTACCTTCAGGCAAGATGTGAGTCCCGCTGTATGCCACACTAAGTTTGGACGTGAATCACTAAGGGTCTGAAGGACACATCCACACAAGACACGGCTTGACAGAGCCTCCTTCGAAACACTTAGTGGAAGTCTGTTTGATCTAGGTCTGAATTGTAATTAGGGGCCCTTTGGTGGACATCATTTAGGTGGGGATTTATGTCCACCAACCACTTTTCATGAGGTTCCAACGGTTAAACTTCATAGCCATATAGTGTCCAAAACTTCTCATCTTTCAAGATCGCCCCCCCAGTCCGCTTCCAGCTGAGACTCGGCCCAGATGGCATGCAGTTTTCCTGGAAAACTTCATGCTGGAGGCTTCATGTGCTGACTTCCCTGATTTGAACTCCAAACCCGAACCAACAAGGATAACAAGGAAGCCAATAAGAATCGATTTTCTGTTGGACACATGCTGGGGATGCATAGAAACTGGTCCGGGGGGAGGGTGGGCATGCACCAGCCTGACGTGTGAATCTCATCCATGACATTTCTGAATTCTGATAAGCAGAAATCATTGATGAATCATGGATGTCCGAGAAAGGGTGAGCCAAGTAGGCTTGCAATACTCATGGCAAATGCGATTGATGCGGGGATGATGTTGGAGAGATTCCAATTGGGTCACGGCCAGAGATACCCAGTTGCGCGTTCACCCAAACCTTTGGAATCCTCCCACTGCCGGCAGATACAGCGCCCCCCTGGAGTTCCTTTGAGCTGGGGGGGGTTTGACCTGAAGCCTTGGCAGATAAAGGACACATCGCTGTCAACGAGGTTTGCTTTTGGAACGGGAGCAATATATCTTCTCCGGCGCACTGTTCATGGCCAGGTGAAACTCAAAGGACCCCCGTTGGACCCTTCGCTAACATTGTGCACAGACCCATGTTGGACGATTTCTGTGGGAAGGGAAGGCTGGTCATTTCAGACTTTCTCGAAAGGAGCTCTCACGTCATGGGGGAAGCAGCTCTCATGTCATGGGGGGAGCGAGCTCTCAGGTCATGGGGAGAACGAGCTCTCAGGTCATGGGGAGAAGTCTCATGCCATGGAGGGGGTTCCCATGTGACTTTCTCAATGCACTGATCCTTGTACAGCTGAAGCTGGGGGCTTCGCTGTCACGAGAAAGAAGACGCGCGCAGACAAAGCGCCAAGAGCAACACTCACAAATCATTTGACAGAGACATGAAAACACACAAGACTGATCGCTCACATGTAGTGTTTCTTGCCATGTGGCTGCTGGCATATTGAACAAACGGCCCAGGCCACAACAAAAGCAACACATCGTCTCATGTTACTCAAATGCCGAAAAAAGTCTTCGTGCCAGTGCATCATATGGCCACATTTACTCCGTTTAAGTGGGCAGAAGAGCTGTACGAGTCCATTGCAACCAAACAACAGACGTATCATGTCCCACCTGCTCCTTGCAAGCAAGCTGGGCTGAGCTGAAGTCTAACATATCCAAGCATCGCCCGAAAGTAACTGACATCAACTTACACCCGAGCTACATGGACATCGGAGAGCGAACAACACCCAACGTGGACGAGCACATGCCAGAAAGGCAAAGCTTCTACTTGAGAGGCTGAACGAAAGCTGGACAGCCCAACAACGACATGTCGTACGACCTAGAAAGTCAGGACCCGAACTTGAACCAGGTTCTAAAGCCACAAACATGTGGACGAGATTGTCGGAATGTGCTGCCGGTGTGAAACCCTGGGGTGGGGGGGGCCGGCGTAGTGAAGAAGTGCCTTCCTTGAACACAACAGGCAACAAAGCATGGGTGCCTACAGTGGTAAACTCGAGCTCAACATTCGCAGCCCGTCCTTTGAATTGTCACGATCTTGGCAGATCCGTCGCGCAGTGTCAGTTGCGCCAAGTTCGTGCCTTCACCGCACCAATTCGCGGAAGCTAGCCTTCACTCCGCGGAAGCTTCACAGAAGGTTTCGTGGACCGGGCCGTTACGTCCATTCAAGCTTAAAGGGAACAACAACTACCACTCACATGCTACAACGAGATATTCAGGGTCAACCCAGGCCCTGTTTGCTGGACACATCGGTGCCAAGGCAAGGCGCCAAGGCTGCGTTTGGTGGCAGAAGGGTCCCCGACCACGTCATGGTGAAACTAAGCGTCAAATCGCCGAGGTGTCAGACTCCCGATTCATTTGAATCTGCTGGGTGTGTGCCGTCGTGGGAGGTGGGCATTTTTCTGTGAGGGGGTTCTACAGTATGGCAGCTGGGTGGAGCTTGTGTTCAGTGAGCATGTTGCTATAGAAGTGCTTCCCCAGGCCTTCCGCGGGCAAGTTGCTTCTGACAATCGAGGAAGGTAGCTTCCACGAAGGGAATTCGTGCGCATGACTTGATGGTAACGCACCGTGCTTGGCAAGCCCAGACACAATCAAGCCGCTACGTGCTGCTAGCACCTCTTTGCGCCTTTTCATGCCCTCATCATGAGATCAAATCAAACGCAACAACAGGATGAAATTTGCCGTGCCAGCTTTCTTGTTCAGATGTCCGCCTGCATACATCTTTGCTTGAGCGGGGGAAAAGTGCCTCTCATGTGTAAGCTACCATCCCTCACGCATTCTCATTATTGTGCTTTCCAAAGAACACAGTCTTCCCCGGATTGGTTCCAGCAAGTCTTCGCCTACGAAACGGGCAATGCACATGCGCTGCAGGTCGTACTTGCAACGTTTCCTTCAAACCGCAAGACTTCGGCAACGCATTTGACATTTGACGCGAAACCGCTGCTCTTGGGCTACTGGAAGTTTGAATAACCCAACATAACCAGGTGCTGGAAAATGGCCAATGGACAAGGGCGTTTGAGTGATCAATACACAAAAAGGTTTCAACTGTCTACAAGGGGTTCGCCCAAAGTTCAACTTTCTGAAAGTGAGCAGGTCCAAGAGCTTGCTGACCAAGGAGCGGCTGAATGTCTCTGTGCTCCTGGCCGGTGCAACCGCCTCGATGTGGTGACGGCCCGGGGGCACCAAGCCACTTCTGCATGGGCCAGGTGTGAGACTGAGGTTTCTCAGCTCCAATTGAGTCATAATCAAAACCCGGTACTAAAATGGTCTACCCAGAACCATGTAAAGAATTAAGAAAGCGGCCGCAGCTATTGATGGTTGGGATTGCCCCTTACTAACCTTCACCTACCCGGGTTTTGATTGTGGCCCAATTGATTTTTTGTCTGTGTAGGGGGTTGAACTCCTCTCCAAACCACACCGATGCGGTCCTCAGAACTCGCGAATCAAAGAACTCGCGCTGAGACTCATCAGGATCCCAAGTAAGCGAGCAGCTACGATTAAAACCCCCGACATGGCAACGCTGCGCCAAACTGAGCAGACCGGAAGAACTGCAGAAACAAGCGGAGCTGACAAGCTGTCAGCTGGTGGAACACTTTTATCATACTACTTTTTATTTTGAAGGCTGATTCTAGGATGCTCAATTATTCACCGTCCAAGATTTCGCAACCATGCGAACAACCTCGACGCTGCAACTGCTTGGCTTGAGGCAGTCCTTGTACAACAGGAGCAGGCGGGTTTTCAACCAGGGTTTACCTTTCAAGACCCTTTGGAGAAACGACCGGCCCCCTCCTGTTCTCTCTCTCTCATCCTTTCGTTCGTTCACCTGGAAATTCCGGAAGCGAAGTGATTGGAAAGGGAACGAGGGAAATGATGAACCGTCGAACTGAGCAAGTTGGGCTTCAAATGTATCCCAAAAAACACCGGGAAGATAAACACAGACACCCAAAACACCCGGGAGACGCGCGATTCGCGAACGGCTGGAACGGCTTGCCCAGCCCTGTCCTGAGACATGTCCCTTCCGTAGTAGCGGCGACTCCTGGAGTCGAATGCCAGGTCACAGGTGACGTCAAACATCCGAATTGCACCATGCTCTATCTTTCCGTTGGGATCCTGCAAAAGCTTTGCACTGAAACTAAGGTTTGGACTGTTGTGTGTTTCCCAATCAGCCATGGCCCTCGTTGTAGTCATACTGGATTCATGAAGGCGTTTGTTCCGGCTTGCATCGATGTGTAACGGAGGGCCAGGCGAGCTTTCCTGAGCCTTTCAATTCAAAACTGTCTTAGGCTTGCCCCTTCATGTCCGAAAAGCGCCATCCGAGCTTGTTCCTGTTCCCGGCCAAATACAGGGACGCTGTGAAGGCATTTCGACATATCTTGCGAGGTCACTGTATCACGCCAATGAATGTTGGGACTGATTGCACCACACCACACCAACCCTCCATTTGCCTCAGTCCCCTGGACAAAATAATAATATGTCCAGTAGTGAGATCGATTCCCTTTAAAACTAGCAGGGGAATATGAAACATATTCTTGACCAAATAGAAGCAACTAAAAACTCTATAAGTTCCACAGGTTGGAGTGTTCCAGGATCCAAACCCGTGACCAGTTGGCAACAGAAGACACGACCAAGCCAAGGCAATGCCTGCACGGAAAACTTGGACCAGCCGTCCCAAGAACCCGCGTCGAAAAGCTAGACTAATCAGCTCTAAAAAAAATAAGGCCAAGGTCTTGATTTTGGCATTTGCGAGCAAGTTGGCCGAAGCTTGAACCAAACCGTCAGATCCAAACCGAAAGAGGGTAGGGACACGGCCCACGGCAGGCTCCTCCGCAGGAACTCCATGGGATGCTTCGGAGTGAAGATCTCAGCCCCCGGGTGCCGCACGGAGAAGACAAAGGCACAGGCCCGCTCCTGGCGCTAGGAAACCCAGAGGAAAAATCCCTAATTAGGCACTCCAGGGGCAAACCGAAAAGGTTTTAGCCTTTCCTCCCACCAGCGATTCCATGGAAGTGCACAGACCCCGGTGGAGACTACTTTCCTCTTGGAATGGGTTTTTCTTTTTGCACTTCCATTTTTGTTGGTGGAGGGTACCAAGGTGCCATTTTGGTACCGCTTTTTGAGCCACAGCCATATATTTATATCATTGGTGTTCTTTTGGGGCAAAGAGATGGCCCTGGTAGATGATGACCACCAGGCAAACCAGGGCCACCTATTTTGCTTAACCAAAACAACCAAAAAGGACACCTATGTCCAAGCAATGCAGGTGCTCTATTTTTTCTACACCCGGATGCATGAACCAAGGTCTCTGGCTTCTGAAAGGCAACTGGTTGCTGTTGAATATTTGGCTCGACAAATTCTGACAGTATGAGTGGTTGTCAGTTATGTCAGTTGTTTGTTTGTTCCCGGGCATTTGACAAGCTATATGAGGTGCGGCTGATAACGCTTGTGAGTCATTTACACGTTCAGTTGAACAACATGTTCTCTTCATGAAACTTCCCGGAGAGAGGAAAATCAGCTTGTTTGAGAGATATTCGCCTTGTAGGGACTAGGCTGGTTTGCCGACACACGGGCCCTGAACTGAAGCTGCTCCCCCGTTGCCCACACAGCAAGGTCGCTGAACAATCGCTGCTATGCATCAAGGTCCAGGCTGCTAAATTGCCAAACTTGCCAAGCGGCGCCGAAATACTCGAACTACTATACTAGGTCCTCCAGTAGAGAGGTTAGAATAAGGGTATCCTTTTTTCTGTTGTCTGTGTTAGTAGGGGAACCCTCCCCCCCAAAAAGGCTAAAAGGGCACTACTGGGGGACCTAGACAAAAAATAAGCTGGTCCCGCACCGCTCGTGCAAGGCACTCCTGAGAATCATCGCACAAGCCGTGTACGCTGGTCAAGCACTGCTTCGCACGTGCTGGTCACTCTGGGACCGGCAGGGGACATAATTTCACCATGTTCAGGGTCATGTAAGTGGGAACAGGACCCCACAACTGATCTTGATATCCATTGACCACCGGCAGTGAAAGGAGCCCAGAATCAGTGGGCACAAATAGAAACAGCTGATGCTGGGAACGCTTGATCTGAACAAGAACTGCAAGTCCTCTCTGTGGCATATGGTGCACAGGCACCAGCCGGAATGCCAAGAACGGAAAGGGCATTCACATTTTGCATGCTGACAGCAACAACAGCACCACCCCACACATTCCTTGGATAAAGAGTGGACAACAATAATTCTCCCAAACCAACATTCAAAAGATACCAGAGTCTCAGGCAATTACACGGTGGCCAACGGGAGACAATCGACCTCCTGGTTTAATCGTTTTGTCGGCCATGGGCAAGAAAGCTGCAGTAAACAGTCCTAAACGCAGCCATGAAACTATGGGGATAACCTGGAGATCAACTTCATTTCGACAGCATCTCTGACTCCAAGTTGGACACCGTCGACTCCCCGAAATCCCCATCCTGGCAGGTGCCATCCGGGTCAGGTGCCTGGCTCGGAGCGTCCGAGGTGAAATGGGTGGCTATACTGGGCTGTTCCCAAATGCCCTGCTAAAAGTCAAGCTTTTAGTGGTGTGGAAACTACCCCCCAACCCAAAAAACCTCAAAACCTTGCGGAATCCAAAATGGAATTCAACGATGCGGCAGAACTAGAGAACACACACACACGATGGTTTTGCACGTTGCAAGGTTTCAACGGCCTATACAACCTTTGATGTGTATGATTGGAGTGGGATGATGTGCCGTGGGGTCGGGGCGTCAATAGAACGATGATGTCCCGCATCAAAGGTTGATTGAGGGTCTGTCTGGAGTTTTCTTAGGGGCTAGTCTAGGCTGCTTAGGGTTGACTTAGAGTGGATGTGGGTATTGTTTGATTTGTTTAGGACTATATACCATAACAAATACTGTGGTCTCATGTTGCCGTGTTTTCAACCACGCCCCACAAACCGGCGTCTAGCTTTGATACTATACGATGTTTTTCAAATACAGGACCCCCGCCAACAAAAATGTGTTTCCGTTTCCCTGTTGGGTTTCCCATAAATGCATCATCCAACAAACAAACGAATCCCCTGAGTCATAAACTTCCATTTGGTTAAGGCCCCAGGAAAACAAACCATATTTCCAGTAGTGATAAAATCCTTTTAAGACCAACAAGGGAAAATAAAAAACATTTTTTTTGAGCAAATGGAGATAAATATTTTGGCCATAGCGCCAACCAGCGAGCCCGGGTGTCGGCTTACGGAAAGCGCGCCTCGCGGAGGCGCAAGGCTTCCTCCACCTGCGCCTCGCTGAGGGTGCCGGCACCGCGGGATCCGCGAAGGAGGCGCCGCAGCCGCGCGTCATCCAGGGACTTGAAGGGGCAGCCGTGGGCCTGATCCGCCTGACGCGGACAATGGGCCAACAAGAATTGCCAAGTTGGACCTAGAAATCCGACAGTTTCTGGTCCAAGCTGTCAAGGACTGCAAAGGTCTCGTGTGGGGAGGCCCAAACGCATGTCCATCATTTTGGCAAGACCTCAGGAGCACCCCTCTCCGGTTCCCCCCCGAACGAGGATTGTGCAGCCGCTGAACTTAAAGGCTATATGCCCTAGGTGGTTGGGGGCGTGGGTGGTAAGTATGTTGGCAAGGAGATAGTTGAAGGAAAGGACAAGAGCACGAAAAACAACAACACAACGAGACTTGCTGAGAATCATCATAAGCCGGCAAGTTGTAAAGTAAACACGTGGACAAGCTGGTTCACAGCGTGGACCAAGGAGGGGCAGGGGAAGAAGCCTCCAAATCGGCCGCTGGCTGCTGGCAGCCTTTGTCACTCTTGCTTGACTGTTGGTGGTGTGGCAACATTTGGGGCCCTTCTTGCTAGCGGTGCTTGACGGGGGAACACAGGTCTTTGAAGGGAGCTAACGAAACACTATTGGCACGGTGGAAATGAGGGTGGACGTCATGGGAGGGACCTTGGTTCTATCAATTTCAGATTCATGTCAACTAAATCAGGGTGATTGGGTTGTGGATTCCACACCCTCTGGAATGAGTGTATCTGTGTATGTATCCGGCTGAACTAGTGTTTCACCAACCTGAAATATGATGGTTGGGGGGCTATTCCCCACATAAACCACCATTTCGGGTGAGGTCGTGTGAGGTCGTTATAATTCACCCTATGTATATAATATGTTGACATGACCATGTTCAAGAGGCGACAGGGGAAAACGACCCATGAGAGGAGGCCATCCGAATCGACAAGCCCTGCAAGCCCTGCAAGCCGATCCGAAATCGATCGAACTTGGGCACTTGAGTGTGTGTTGCTTGCAGCTGGCCAATCGGAAGCATTCCTTTCATCACGAAAGGTGATACCCTTAAAAACAGGTCAATTGACTGTGTCTCCAAACCATTTTCCACCAGCCCAACAGTTGCTTTGAGATGGCTATCGCTATTATGAACCAACAAGGATTGCCAGATTCATTGTTTTGTATGATGTCTATATTTTTCTATTTCGGTATGGGTCAACATTATTCACCACTAGGAATTGGACCGCAGGTTTTAGTCAGTCATTGTTTTCATATACAAGGGACCACCACATCCATTCATCTGCATTTCTTTTTACAATTCCGAGAAATAAGAATTGGACCTTCAAGTAAAGGACCTTTCTCATGGCTTTCGCGCGATTTCGCCGTCGATGAGCTCGCCAAATGCAGACATCTCCCGAAAGGGCTGCCTTTTGCCAAAGACACGATCCCAGGATGAAGTTACCAGGAATCGGACCGCAATGTGTTTTCGTCCTTCCATTTTCGGGGTTTAGCCTGGGTGACTCATTCCATGGGTTTACCCTGAAACGACCAGCCACACCCCCTGAAACGACTGCCAAGTTGAATCATTCCATTTCGGGGGTGGTACCCCGGGTGACCAGCACCCCACCAAGCCCCACAAAACGAGGAGCGCTTCCCCCGTTGGCTTTGGGAAGCGCTTCCCCCGCTTCCGGGCCGCGCCCTGGGGCTTGGGAAGTCCCAGGTCTTGCGGCAGCTCCAGGCAAAGGCGGGCTTTCCCTTGCCTCACTAAGGGGGACGGGTCAGCGAGCGATGGGCTTTCGATCTCGGTGAGCCCAACAGCCAGTGAGCAGTGTTTCGCTGGTTTCGCCTGCACGCCCATAGCGAGGTGCCTGTTGGAAAATCGGGAGGGACTGTGCTTGTGAGTGCCCGACAGGTTCCTGTGGGAAGTCCAAAGACTTTGGCACGTGAAAATGCACCTAGCCCGAGCAGTTTGTTGATTAAGTGTTCAAGCGAGTCAGTTCTGACACACTTTTGACTTCCCAGAATCTAAGCCTGTAGCGGATGTTTGATGGTGCTGAAAACACCTTGGCGTGCTTAATAAGTATGGCAAGAGCCTGACAATAAGAAACAAGCTGTGCATGAGTATAGTTATTGGCTCCTTCCGCTGTGAGAGCTTCAGGGTGTGGCACGTGAAAACCCAGTAGCCCAAGCAGATTTGTTGTTTGTTTTCAAGTGAGCCAGTGGTGGGACCCAACCCAAGCCGAATCTTGGTTTCCTTTTAGTTGAAAACAAGAGGCTTGGGGCGTCGAGGTAACTCGGGACCACTCACTAAGACTTCTCCTGGCCACGAGGCAGAAGAGAATGACAGAGTTGTAGATGCAGCAAGTTATTCCTGTAGTTCATTCCCGGTATCTTACGGAACCCGTCGGATACCCTGAGTGCCCGATCGTGGCCATTTGAACGGGTTTCTTCAGGCCACGCGGCACAGGCAGGGCAATGCTGTTGCATACGGAACCTGTGCACTTTCTTTTGGGGTGGTACCGGCAAAGGTCAGCAAATCATCATCGTTTGGAATGTGTCTCTGTATCAGGACCGGGCACCTTTCGCGGCTTTCGCATTGTGATTTTCTGTGCCAACCAAGAGTTCATAGGCCTCCATTTGCTGTTTCGGCCCCTGGAAAACATGAGCAAATCTGTTCAATAGTGAAAAACAACAGGGGGAAAACACATTTCAGCAAATGGAAGTTTTGGGGTGACGGCACACTCTTGCGATTCCGATGACTCCCCTCCCCCCCAAAACCAGCAGTCAGCACCCAAGCACACACACCGGCAGCCGTTTTTCTTCGGATCGCCATGCTTTATTTCTTGCTTCCGGGATGGGGCCGAGGATGCTTTTTGAGGCGAAGGAATGCGAAGGAGTATTGCAGACACACCTCTGGAGGGAGCTTCGTTTTGACACATTCTCGTGCGATCTCGCACAGCGACAGCGTGTGACAAGGCTGCTTTTAGGGACATCTGCAAGGCCCCTATGAAGAAATGGGACAAAAGCATTTTGCTTTCGGTTTTGCCCAGCTACAAGGTTGGATGCAAGCACCAAATGATGACTGAGTTGTCAGCAAGACCCCCGGTGGGTGGCTGTCCGCCGAGAGACCCATGCAACCGTAGGCGTGCTCGATGTGGTACACGTGCTCCAACTCGAAGTCTTCCTTCGTGAGACTTGACTGCCAGGGGTGCAACATGCCGTGCTGAACATGCTGTTGACCCCTGACTATGACTGATGACCCTGCTAGTTGCATGCAAGGGTCCTTTTTGAGTGAGGGCATCTGTCTTTCAAAAGACCCTGGCCGGCATAATGAATTAAAGGGTTGGGTTATACAGCGGGGTCATCAAGGCTCACATAGGCTGGCATTGCATGCAACACATAGTGGGCTGTCAACACTAGGGTCGCCCGCTTTGCTTGCTGGTGTCTTTGAGTGCCTCAAAGGGGGATTCCCGAAGTGGGTCACAGTGTTTTCAACCCTTGCACCCCACCTGAATGCCAACGATTTCTGGCAAAGCCGCTGCTTGGAAGTTTAAGTTGTGAGGTACCAAATAGGCTGGGCAGGCTGCGAATCGAGTTCAAGACGCAGTAAAGCAGTTTGTTCCTCATCATCCCACCACCAACCCCCAACCAACCCCCACCAACCCCGACCAACCCACAACAAACCCCCAAGCCACCCCCACCAAGCCACCCCCACCAAAGCCACCCCCACCAAGCCACCCCCCCCAAGCCACCCCCACCAAGCCACCCCCACCAAGCCACCCCCCCCAAGCCACCCCCACCCCCCCAAGCCACCCCCCCCAAGCCACCCCCACCAAGCCACCCCCACCAAGCCATTCCCACCAAGCCACCCCCCCCAAGCCCCCCAACCTTCTCCGACTCGCCTTGGTCACGGCTGCGTCCCGCAGAAACTCCCGCTGCCACCATCGCCGCGCTTCTGCCAAGGGCAGCCTAAGGCTTGCGACGATCCAAGCTCGAGGAAACCCGGAAGAGTTGATCTGATGGCTCAAAATCAAAGCATGTCCGCGCGAAGATCACGCAAGACTCTGCTTGAGCCACTTCAAACATGGGCATGGCTCAAACCGCAGGGTTTAGTCTTTGTTTCCATATACCAAGGTGCCATTTTGGTACCGTTTTTTGAGCCAGAGCCTTATATTGAATCATAGGTGTCCTTTTGGGGCAAATAGATGGCCCTGGTAGATGATTAAACCACCAGGTAAACCAGGGCAATCAATTTTTCGACCAAAACAACCAAAAAGGACACCTATGGTTGATCTACTCAAAAAACACGAATCCCTGTCTCTTTCCGGCATAGAACTTCAGGCTATCTAGTCAAGAGTATCGCCATCACGAAGCGAAGCAAATTGGTTGACCATGGCATGAGCAAGCTGCCCATTTTAATCCGGTAATATCAGTGTGAACGCCATTTTAGAGAGGATCCTTGTTGGAATGGCTCGGGGTCAACCAAGCATTCCCTGAGTTATTCTCAAATTTGCATGGAAACTCTTTACAAATCACTGATGAGTTCTTGTATGGAGGTATAGGTAAAGGGACGCTTAGCCAACTTCCTGCTGGCCCAACCTTCCGCATCTCTTGCCAAACAAACAAACCATGACTCCTATTCTGGTCAATAGCCAGCGATAGCAAACTCAAAATGCAGTGTAAACGTCAAAGGAGGTCCAAGCCTTACCTCGCTTGCTGAGTGGATGGCCCAAAAAAAGTCCAAACTTTGATTTACAACTAAAATGGTCGTCCCAAAAAAAGTTAAAGTTCATGAACTCAGGAAGCGAGTTACTATATCTCCAAAAACCGGTTTCAGGGATCCCCAAGTAAAGGACCATAACACCCATCTAAACCAATAGCGTCGCATTTCCCAATCAACGTCGCATTTTTGTTCCTGGGTTCACAGGTGGCCTTCTGGAACATCGAGGTTTGCCTGGTACATGGGGCATAAAACCCATCTAATCCAGTGGCTTGCCCATCTATGTCTAGCCAAACTGGGCTCCGACCTCTGTGGATCCACGCCCAGCTTCCCGCAGAAGCGGCCGCAGCTGCAAACGGCCCAGGTGCCTAACACAAAAACACACACACACACACACGCGACATTCCCTACAAAACATCTTACACGGAATTGCAGAAACGGTGTGGGAACATGGACTTTTATGTGCACTTTACATAAATAAAAACAAGTCATGGTTCAGAACCAGCAAACATTAAAACACATTGCCTCAGGATGGGGTCAGGTTTGTGCAACCGGCGCGTTGTTTATCTGTATGAGCTATACAGAACTGAATAATTCCTCACAAGTACTGGTCCGGTGGTAGACCATAATTCTCCTGAGTGTTTTGACATATGTGGAGTTGCAAGTGCGCAATGCGACATTCGTGGAATGTTCACTTGCCCAAATTCAGTGCCACCCACCCACCTATAGATGCAGCCTCCGGATATTGACCAGGGGATTTCCCGATTAGTCGGATTCCTTTCTTCCGCGGCTAGCCACCGCCCGGATGAACAACTGGCGGGGGGGGAAGTAGTCATCATACATCCACGCCCAAGCTGTAGTCATTCTGGGGGGCATCCTTGTGCCATACTTGCAGCTTCCACGATTGGACTTGCCTGTGCCACAAAGTTGCTGCACTTTGAATCCAAAGTGTCTCCCCCTTTGAGTATTACGATGTTAAACCTTCACATGCCAGTCAGGATCATTCCGTCAAAAACCAGATCGCGAAATGAAAGCACTCAAACACACAAAGGCCTTCTTCATTTCAATTTACAGGGCAAACGCTCCGAATTCCTTCCTTTGCTGAACATGCATGTAGCAGCCGGCGGCTGGCAAGCCCAACACCGTTGCCACACGAAGTTGCCGAGGTGCTTGAGGTGTTTGCCCTCGCGTTGAAAGTCCACCAGGTATTGCATACCTAGGCGAGCTCAAACTCCAAACCCGAGCGGCTCAAGGAAGGACCTGACTTCACGAAGAAATCCCTTGTTCTCACACATTCATACACATATAACCTGTTTGTACATACATCTCGCTATAAAAATACAGGTGCGTACAGGAACCCCTTTTCAGGACCCCCTGCGCTAGAAACACGCCAGCCAAGGAACCGAAAAGCAAAGTGGGGGAGGATTATGTCGAGACATCATGTGAAGCGCCTTTGTGATCTTGCCCCTGCAAGGAGGAAAGCCGTCTGGCCCCTGTCCCGGCTCAGGCTGCCCGGCCAAAAGCATTCTTGCCACCTTTCGCGCGAAAGTGGCGGAATGGCCTTCTTGTCAAGAACTGCTTCTTTGGTCCGGCTGGGGCTCCCGGCCCAGGCTACCTGGCCAAAAAGCATTCTTGCCACCTTCGGGCGAAAGTGCAAGAACGCCTCTTTGGTCAAAAACGTTTTCTGGTCTGGTCGGGGGCGGTGGTCGCTTGCGTCCCTCTCCCCGTCGCCGTCCAGCCGCTCCGTCTCGCTTGCATCGCTCTGCCACAGCGCCGTCCAGCCGCTGCGGCCACTGCGTCTCGCCTGCGTTGCTGCGCCCTGGCTCCTTCCAGCCGCTGCGTGTCGGCATCGCTGCGCCGTCCAGCATCGCCGCGCTATGACTAAGAAACCCTCCCTGTTCTGATCAAGACACCCACCTGTGACGCTTGTGCGATGCCTGGCTTACATGCCACAGACAAAGCAAGGTTTTGCGCGTAAGGCCATCTGATGCAACTGGCAATGCAGGCGCGGATGCTGGGAGCGCTTTCCGTCAGCGCCACGTTGTCGTCACCAGCATCACTGTCACCAACACCATCACCGCCAGGCTTCTGGAAGCCGGGGCGGCGAATTCCAAAGACGGCTTGGATGTCAAACGCGCAACGCCTCAACACTTGCTGGCGGGGGGCGACCCCCCGCCTTCAGCCAAGCCCCTCTTGGGCCCAAGCCTTAACCATAATCCCGGAGAATAAGGTCGAAGCGAATCCTCGCCGGACGGTTTGGGGAGCCGGTAGCCCTTGAATAGCACTCCAAGCTGTCTCAAAGGAAGCGTCATTCGATTGAATTCCAAGTTGACATCAATGGTTGCATCCACCAGACAGGACAAAGTAACAATTCACTTGGTTCCCGAATGGCCCAAGCTTGAACAAAACAACCCCCCCTTTTTGCAGCGGGTCTGAGTAATCACGCAACCCTATGTTTCGGTTGGTTTTGTAAGGTACCAACCATGAAACCAGGAGTTTACAAGAGGTTGGTTGACAGATCTACGTTAGATCCCAGCAAAACAGTCGGCCAGGAGCTTTCTATTGGTCTTTGACCAAGGCACAGGGAGGCATGGACTTCTCCAGCATCTCCTGGTGCCAAAAAGGTGGGGCGCGACATGAACAAAAGACCAGGATACCAAAAATGAACACCCTTTTAAGCCTTTGGGAGGCCCACAAAACATGGACAAACCTTGGAACTGGAAGGTCAACTGAGCCAGGAGATGACAAAGCTGAAGCTTCAAGTTTTCTACACGTTGAGTTCTGTTGGATGCGCGTTGCTATTTGGCGCTACCTGGATGGTTGTACACTGACACGGCTCACATGAATCTTCACAGCAAGTGGGAAGGAAACTAGCATCTTTACGTCACAAATGTGTTGGTTGAATTCACAATTGGATCGCGCTGGAATCCGTGTAGAGGAACCCTGTGTTTTCTCCATCGGAATTCTGCTCATGGCCCAATTCCTTTCTTAGGCTTTGCTCCTGACTATACTGACCCCTTCGGGTGCAATGACCGTTGCAAAGGTCCGGAAATTTTGAGAACCCCGAGATGTGAGTTGCAACCAAAACAAATCGGTATTAAAATGGCCTAGCCAGAACCATCTCAAAACATCAACAGGCGGAACTCCGCATCCCTGTCTGGCAAGGGGATTATCGATTCCTAATCTTCATCTAGTCCTTTTTGTTTAGCAGGTCGCACCCTGGGATTCTCCCTTGCTAACCTTCATCTAGCCCTTTTTCCTTGGGCAGGTGATGGCAGGTGGCTCATGTGACCACCTTGGCCGCTGCCTTTCTCGAACGGAGGCTAGGCTCCAAGACCGCCCACCTCGAAGTTGCTGAGCCGCAGATCCACCGAGTCCTCCGAGTCCCGGAGGTTCAGCAAGCGGTCCACGTCAGGCCGCAAATGCTCCACCTCGCTTTTGGTTTTTGCGACTCGCGCGCAGTACCTTCGCGGCGTTTTCTTGTGGGGGGGATTTTCAGGCCTCAAAAGCAGCAACAGCTGTGTGTATACTGCAAGGCACTGTCACTGGTTGAAGAGAACTCCACTCGATCGGTGACTTAAAGGAGCGATCGACTCGCTACGTCAGTTGAGTGGTGGGTTTTAACCAACCCACAAGAGCCACGTTGATGAGTCTACGTTCAGTGGGTATGACCAGGGCTTGCTAACCACTTACCTGATCGCCCCTTTAAGTAGGCGCTTTGGCTTGCCCCCTTTGGGAATGTGAGCCTTCCCTCCCCAAACCCACATCAAAGACTGCGAGAATTTCCGCTCTTGACAGCAGTGGCCCATCAAAACTTGAGCCCCAAGACCAACCCCGTCCCGTCCCCCCCCCCACCCCCAACCTTTTCCGGCCTGCGTAGTTTTCATTGGTCAAACCACAAGCTGAAGCGTCCAGATGGGTGCCCCGGGATCCGCTCTTCGGATGTGTTGACGTCAGAGGCTTTCCAAGCAAAGCCAGGAAAAAAAATCATCGGACGCCCTAAGTTGAGAACACAATCCCTCGACAAAGGAACGGAACCCTGTGATCTTGCTGAGATCCTGGAGGTCTTCCCTATGGCATTGGGGGTCTTCCCCATGGCATTTCTCGGACATCTCTGGCCATGGGTCATAACCTATTCCTACTTTCTGGGGGCAGATGAACACCCGTGTACAACCTCATGCTGCACGCGCGAAGCAGGATACCTAGAGTTGGCGGTGTTGTAATGTTTGCTGTTGTCACAAATTTCGTCGTTTGCTGTAGATCTGTCGAAGTGGAAAATCATTGTGAGCCTTCAAGTTTCCTCTGCTGCAACTGGTGAATTCTTCTAACCTATTTTAATATTCACCGGGGGTACCAGGGCTTTTGACCCACAGCCATCTCCGTCCAAGGCGCCGCACGCTTCAGCGGCGGTGCTGCCTCCAGCACGCCGGGCCCCTTCTGGGCGCAAGCCACCAGGGCGGCCGTGAGGTGGCGCCGGAAGGTGCCACAAATGAGCTCGGGGAAGTCCTGAAGCGATGAACTCACCTAAAACCATCGTTTTTTCCCTTTGGGACACAACAGCCCCCATCTCCCCTGGCCATCTGGGTGTCTGGCGCTCAAATCAGACTCCTTCGCAAGACCTCCGAAGGGCGGCTGCCCTTTGATCCGCTTTCAAAAGCTGAAACTCAAGGCCGGAAATACTTGGAAGCCCTCTTTGAAGCGGCTGATAAGATCGAGAAGGAAACGGCTCCAAAGGCAAGCTGTAACTTCTGCTTGCTCAAGGTGCCATTCAACCAACACTCAACCAACCAACAAAAAGCACACACACACACACGCATACCAGTCATCACCACCTTCTATAATGAAAGCGTAACCATACTTTTTGTGGTCTCCACGGCGATGCCCATGCCCCAACCAGGTCTTATACTGTCCGAGTAGCATTGCCCTACTCCATACCATCGCCTACAATGAAAACATTCAACCAAAACTCAACCAACAAAAACACTCACACACACACACACACCCCAGAGTCACAACCACGTTGTACAATGAAAACATAAACACCAAACTCATTCTGACCAAACGGAGGTTGAGTCCTCAACGACCCCTCGAGCGCGTCCGGCCGGTCGTCCCGGATGGTGTCCTCCGGCTGCACGGTGGCCTGGCCTCTCCGGAGCAGCACGCGGCGTCCAGCCAGCAGACTCACCTCGAATTCACGAGGAAGCCGTGGGCGGTTTGGTTGCAGTAAGTTGGGCTTCCTTTATACGGATTTACATAGTTTTCTAGATAGTGTTATACTCCTTATATAGGTTCCTTGCATATTTACATAGTTTTATAGATAGTTTTATAGATTGTGTTTTATATTCAACTATATTCCTTGTACTTGTATAGGTTCCTTATAGGTGTGTACTCCCTGGAAATGACATGAGCTTCTTTTCTTGACCGCAGGTGACTGGATATGTAGGTCATTTTCTTGGCCCGCAAGTCCTATAACATCTGCGAGTTGGCTTCACGCTGGCTCAACAACAAAACACTTCGCCTTTCAACAGAAAGAAGAGTCGCACAGAAAGGACACACGCCCATACGTGTGTTTGAGGCTTGTTCTCCTTGAAAGGCAGAACAAGAGATTTTTAAAGGACCAAAGGCAACTGACTTTTTCCCATCTGAGTCACAATCAAACCCGGTATTAAAATGGTCTACCCAGAACCATGTAAATAATTAGGCAGGCGGCCGCAACTATTTCTGGCTGGGACTGCCCCTTATTAACCTTCATCTACCCGGGTTTTGATTGTGGCTCATCTGTAGATGCAATGGCCTTGTGGCATAAATGTCAACATGCTGACCTGCAAGAAATAAAGTTGAGCGAGTCGTGCAACACTCCTGACCGTTGTTTTAGGCGAGTTTGGGGTTCGGGTGGGTTTGTTGATTTAGACGTGTTTTAGATTGGACTTGGGTTTCGGGTTGGTTGTAGGGTGGGAGCTAAGCTGGTTTCGGGTTGCTTTGCAATGGGTGTTGGGTTGCTTGCGGGTGAGTTTTTGGTTGGTTCAGGGTCCCAGGGTGGCTTCACTTGACAGGACGGGGCTTGCATTGTTTAGGTTGGGCTTTGGGTTGGTTCAGATTTTTTAGGGTGGTTTGGGTGGGTGTTGGGTTCGCTTCGGATTGATTGGTCCGGGGTGGGGGAGGAAACCGTGCCCAGTTTCCCCAAGTAAGCAAAGACGCTGGCAGCTGAGTGAAGTGCAACGACACGGCCCCGGAGCTTTCAGCGCCTGGATCGCAGCTTTGGACCCTCACTGGGTCAAAAATGGGTACCCAAAATAGAACCCTGCTAAATGGAACCAAGGACGAAAATCTGCGGCCCCTGCGGGTGAATTTTGATCCACACCCAAATGACTGCTCGATACTGTTGGTGGATGGGGGCAGGGTCGAAGCATTCTTTCTGCCCAAAGAGCAAAAGGCAAGCACTCAAAGGTTCGCAAGGTCAAGGTTCGCCGAACCTGTCTCCAGGGGCTGTTATGGGATGAGCCTTCGATAAGTCCACGCCTCTGCAGTCCACAACAAGGCAGAATAAGCCCTTCAGGCTGTGTTGAGAGGTTGGCAAGGTCATCAATCCACCCAGCAAACACCCGTAGGATTGCCCTAAAAATTGGTAAAAGCAAATAGCTTGCGATCTCCTTGACGTCCTTGCGGTGGCCGACAATGTCTTCAAAAAGAATTGTGTCACCTTTCACCCCAGTGTTGCTGACAACCCTGTGTGAGCACCGGTTTGTATTTTGATACGCAAGGTGAAAGATTTGCACGCTCCTCGAAGATAATGTCCTATAATGTCCTACAACGTAATTCAGAATAGTTTCGTAAACGCTCCACGGGAGAAATACGGAAGTACTTGATCAAGTCTTTGTGCAATCTCAACTTGGGATGCAAATATATTTTGCCATTGAAATTGAGTCAAAAGCACCAATACTACCACACCTTGACCCAGAAGAGGTGTGTGTATTTATATGCATGGAGCGCGTTTTGACTTGCGGCCCAACCCAAAGGATATCTGGGTGAACTGTCGACATGTGGCTTATGTAAGTGCTTGACCTCTCTATGAAAAGAGAGGAGAATCAGCCTCCAACTGGATAGGGCTGTCTCAGCGTTTGCGCTGAGAGCGCGAGTGGGAAAGACACGGGCAAACATAAAAAAGGCTTCATGAAGCTCTGGTGCTGTTCGTTGCCTCTCGCGGACGCTCTGTGGATCGTTCTGAATGGAAGCCGAGGCTAGCGCGCTTCTTTAAAACAAGAAGCGTGTCCTTTTGACATCGGGGTTTGAGCCACGGAGTCCAAGTGACAAGATGCGACTCAAGGACTTGAGACTTTGAACAGATCCATTTGTTTGAGGCTCGACTTTGTTTCGTGAAATTCTGGACGATCAACCTGCCACAGGAGCATGTTCTTGTCTTTGACAGCAACAAAGAACCAACAACTCAAACTTCCTAAGAGTGGCCGAACCCAGGATTTGCAAGTCACTGCTGCGCCCTTTTGATCCATCGCGCGTCGCGGAATTTGGCCAAAGGATGGTTCGGTCCACTGTACGAGCGGGAGTCGGGAGTGACCTCGTTGATACTATTTAATTCCTGGAACAAAAGACCATATCAACAGGGATTTTTGTGATCAGTGCGTTGCTAACTTTCACGACAACTGCTTCCCAGCACTATGCTTCGATTGTGGATCGGACACTGCCAATTTCCAGGACCCCAGCTGCGTATCAAGTTTGGACCATACGGACGGTCCCCGCAGGTGCGAGGCAAACAAAACATCCACCCCACCCTGTTACCCTGTTGGGGATCAGTCTGGCTCGATTCCATTTAAAATGGAACTGAGCATTCCCTTGCTCAACTAATTCTGCGAGCGGGGACCTTGTCCACCGCGGCGCGGGGGGGGGGGGGTTGTCGGTGTCGGTTGCCAGCCTGTTCGCTGACCACCCACTTCCCCATCCCTACATTTAAAACACCATCAGTTCTTCGCTCCTGTGTTCCAGGAGCAAATTGGCCTCCATGTCCGGTTACAGCCAACATTGAAGCTGTTTTCAAAAGCCAATACGAACAATGTATCAGTTTGCTGTCACCTCGCGGGACTACACCCTTGGAAGTGACTCAAGGCAGTCCGAACTCACAAGGATATTTTTTAAAGAACCATGCAAGACCAATGTCCTAGAGGGTGTAGTCATCCCAGGGTGCCATGCAAACAAACAAACTTGGGACAAGATCAGCCAAGTTGATCTCCCCAAGTTGCAAGCCAACACCATTGCGTGGTAGATTCCCTTGAAGGTACTCTAGGTTAAAAAACCAGCGCCCAACCACGGGTGTACGGCAAAAAAGCAAACAAACTACCGGTCAAAACGCGGCGGTAGCCATCATGTCGCTGTCTGTGTCGTCCTCCTGAGGCCGCCAACTCGAACGTCGAAAACTGGCCGCGCCTCTGCCGAGCTCGCAGGAGGTTAGCCTCCATTTCCTTAAGCCCCCTGGCAAAAATTATGAAATATGAAAACCACGTCCCTTAAACAAAACCACTGGGGGAAACCAACACATCGTCTTGAGCAAATGGAACTTCGCTTCGGCCCAAGCTTGAACGAAGGACGAAACCTCCACAAGCTAAGGCCGGCCAGGGTTTTGGGCGCAGGTGTCTGTTCTCGCACGAAAATCGTCTGAAACCTGGAGCGCAGATCTTCGACGGGCCGGAACTATAGCTTTGTGTTGCGGGTCTCAAACACCAACCCAAGCAAAGCAGGCTTCAAGAGTAGCAAGCCAAGAAATAACTAAACATAAACCGCATCTTAGTCCATTGTGCAGGTGAGAAATTTGTTTTGACTGGAGCACATTCCGAAATCCAGAAGCGCAAGTGGCAGGCAAGCAGCAGGCAGTGAGCAGCAGGGCGAAATTCGGCTTAAACCTAAATCCACTCTGCGCCGTGCTGGTAGCCAATGATCGGCGGCCTTTGCTGTGGACAGGTTTCGTGTGCGCGTCTCGCTTCAAAATGAAGGCAGCGTGATGCAACGACGCTGTGGGTGGAGGAAGCCCTCCGGACTTGGCAGATTGAAAACCATACAACCCCAAAAAGCAGCTGGAAAACCAAGAACTTCAACTGCCAAACACGGAGTTCATACTCGCTTTGACTTTTGTGTTCGTCTTCAGCATCTTTGCTGTTCATTGTCGTGGGATTGTCGTCTTCAGTCTGAGGCTCTACATTGCCGCATCTTCGATTTCCGCAATGCAAATGCTCTCGTGGCTTTACTTCAGGGGCCCGGAACAAGCCCGAACCCGTCCTGGTGAATGCACAAGCCATCGATGCGGCCTGAATGCATTCAGGCGTCGCCAATCAACCTGGATCCCTTTTGACAGAGGCCCCAGCCGAGAGGGGTTCCAAGCGTCGGGGGAGTTGACCACTTCTGTGATACACCAAAAAGGGCTACCCAAAGACAACCCCCCAGATTCCCTTATATCACAGAAGTGGTTGGATAAACCCCTTGATCCCACAACCCTGTTCCTCCCAGAACCTATCTGACAGGACAGCAGTACTAATCTCTTTTCCCGCGTCTCGAGACTCAAAGCCTTGCCTGGAGCTCTCATCGCCGCCTGCCATGTGAGCTGGAACATCCAACACATGTCTTGGCTGGAAAAAGGACACAGCAAGCCCCTTCCAGGTGGTTTGCTTTTTGGCTTTTGGCGTCCCTTGACAAGCGTCTAAGGGGACCCCTTTGGAGACATACCCAACCGGAGAAATCAATTATCTTGGAGAGCTTGCGGCCGCAAGCAAAAAACATACTGAGATGCACGCAAGAACAACTCATGTTGAAGTGCTAGTGCAGCTTGAGACAGAGTCGCCAAAGATCCCGTGTTTGGCTGGAAAGCGCATACCCAAGGACACTTGTATGTGTATCTATATATATATATATGTATATATTAGAACAACTCGCTCATAGCATTGTGCTACATGAATCTGACCAACGGTAGGTCAAGGAAGACGAAAGCAGCGCGGGTGTTTCAAGAAACCATCCAATCCAAGGTGCTGGTGCTGGAAGTGAAGATGTAGATACCCCGTACGATGTAGATGCCGTAACCGCGGATGGTTCATGTTCTGCATGTCGGCAGCTGGGAGACTCATGGCACTGTTCCTGCGGTGCAGGTGAACGAAGGCGCTGCTCCCAAATTCTGACACTCGACCTTCAAAGCTGGACACTTGGAACCTGTTAAAACCAGCTGGGTTGATGCTGTGTGCCGCCACCCGCGATCTGTTGCATAGTCATTTAATAATCAGTTGATTCAACTTGACACTGAGTGATGTGGCCCGATCTTGTGTCTGGAATCCTGGAAAACAGTTGGATCACGGAATCCGATGAGAATCGTGAAAATTAAATGTGGTTGACAAAGCAAACTCAACGAGGCCAGCATATGTTTGCTGGATTGTGGGATGCAATCAAGTCACTTTCTGGAGAAGCGCTTGAGGATCAAGTATTTGGCAAAGCCTTTCTGAAAACACACACACACACACATTGAGGGATTCGGGGAAGGGATGCGCATGGGATGCGTCAAGAAGATCCGGCCTCGCTGGCCTCGCTGTCCAGGGACCGAGTCTCTGGAGAGGCTGGAGGGCTCAGAAACTCGCACTCCTTTTCGCTCGCCACGGCCCCGGAGCAAGCGCTCTTGTTCATCGCCAACCTGAGAAACTCGCTTCGGCACTCGGGCAATCGAAAGTCTCGCTGGATCGCTCTTGCCGCGTGCGAACGCCGATTCGCCGATCGCCGAAAAAGTCGCCCATTGGAGCTCCGGAGTTGTCAAGTGCCTAGGTCTTGGCCTTGAGCGGTTCATTCGTCAAGCCGTTTTGCTTTCTGCCAGCATGACCTGACAAACCCAAGGCCACGAATCCTTGGCAAGTCCGCTCAAACAACTTGCCTCACGGTGACTTCAGAAATATCATAGCTGCCGAAACATGTTTAATTAAGCATGTTGCCAACCCGCCTTCAGAACTGATCCTTGCATCATACCGCATCATCACGTGTGCGAAACATTCAAGGTGATACATACTTGCGAGCACACAAATACAAACCATTGGTCAGGCAGCTTGCTATGCCACGCGCAGCCCTTGACATCCCATCAACAGCGGCAAGAGCAGCGAGACGGCGAGAACCAGCACGTCAAGAAAAAAGTTCGATGCACAGTGCGAAAGTAATCTGCGCGTTAGCCCCGGGCGCCAGAGCCAACAAGAGCTGCGCAGCCATGAGTTTGCAC